CTTTTTTTAAGAAAGAGGAAGGGGAAAAACATGACACGGATTCTCCTGGTGAAGCAGAGGAAAATGTACATCCCAACCACACGTAAGTACTGGGCGGCTCTCCCCGCTCTCCCAGACACCTCCTGCGGGCACGATTCCGTGCGGAAGTTAACTCTGCAGTCCCGGACAGGGAAACCCATCAACCCACCCAATCCCCCCACGCCAGACACCTCCTGACTCCCCAGTTTTGCCAGCCCCGAATGGTCCCTACCAGAGAGCTCAGCCCCCAGGTGGGGCTGGGAGGGGGTCCGGAGCTGGAGCAGGGCCGTGGGAAACAAGGAGGACAGGAGCGGAGGGGGGCAAGAGGAGCTGCAGCTTATTGGACTCTGTGGTCCCTCCCAGCTACTATTTCTGTTTTGTAACGAGGTCTAGGCTCAGCCTTTAGCATCTACCTCCTCCTCTCATTCAATACACGAGAAACAGATATTTGGGTTTTCCCTAAAGAAAGAGGTAGCACCAATTTACCATCTCTTCCTACATCTCTGCCATCCTCCTGCTCTCCAGATGCGTGGACCAAGTATACTCTGGCAGCACCTGTTACAAGATCTCAAGACTCTTGCAGCAGGTGCTATCCACGTCAGGGACAGATCCCAAGCAGACGCCAACACACCATCAGCTGGAGGCTGAGGTTCCTCACCAGTTCTGTCTACGTGGATACTGCCAAAGCAGCTGGTAGAGTGGATCCAACTCAGGCGAGGCACTAGTGTACAGGGACTGTTCTGTCAAACTAGCCAGAATGATGTGTGATACAGTGTTAGAGCTCGTAGATGGTACCTGCCGAAGTTAGAATGGCACGGACAGACCAGGCTTGCTTAAAGACAAAGTTTCTCCACTGGAGCTGTCTGAGCAGGAGAATGATTTTATAGTAAAACAGTGCTTTGTGGTGAATGCTTCAGCATTTTTGGTAGGGCTTTCGTAGCCCTAAAGCTGGGGTTACTGTATTGCTAAACCACAGCCTCAGCAATCAGCTTTGAGGTCTGGACCCAGACGCTTCCTTAAATGCTCTTTAGCCCCAGCATGAGTGACCCTATCCATAGTAGATATTTGTAGGCCTCTGTCTCCAAATGCTTTTTTTTGCTATTTTTTTTTTAAAATTCCTTTGCATGTAGGAGGAACATCCAAGGAGATTCCTACCTATGTTCCCAGCTTTTAGAGGATCATCTTTATGAACACACTGTTCTGGTCTCTGCCATGATTTGCAGGGATCTTTGTCACAAGAGGAGCCATTGCTATCCCCTTTCTTCCAACACGTAACTTGTGTCCCTGGAACAGCACTGGAAAAAATTATGAGGAAAGATCCCTGATCTTAGAGTTTCAAATCACTTGCTACTCTGTCCATTCATTGCATGCATTCATGATGTGTAAGACAACAAGGACCCCAAGATATGGGCTTCTGTCAGACCAGTGTACAACAGGCCAAGGCACCTGCAAATAAAGAAAGTCTAAACAATTCCAGTCCTTCAAAGCTGATTGAAGTATAGCAGGAAACATTTATGCAATAGCCTGTAGAAATAGCTGTAGGACATAGATGCCCAACTGTGTTTTAAACAGGCCTATCAGATGAGGTTCTTTCAGCACAAGATTTGATACTTCTGCGGAGTCTGTTGGATTTGTCTACCTCGTATCCAAGGAATCCATCTAGAGCTCAGGTCTCCCCTAAGGTTTCTGGAAGTTGGAATGACATCTACAAAAAAACCAATAAAAGCTATATTAATGAGACATTTGTGCAGAAAGTTGTGATGCTACAAAGAATCCCATCTGGGAGAAATATCTCTGGAGTGTTTCTGGCATCCTGAAGGTAGC